CGGAATACAACTGCCGGGGTCTTGCAGATTTCAATTAGGGCCAGGTGAATTTAGTTGAACAGTTTAATCTCGTATTTGATAAGAAAATCAACTGTCGTCTTAGTTTTTGTTGTTGTTGTTGCTGTTGACAACAACTTGGCACAATAAACGAAAATAGCCACCCAAGTATTGAAACGTTGAGTTGAGCATTGTTGATAAGATTATCAGGAGTATGAAAAGTAACCTCTTGCTCATATCTGAAGAAATTAAAAAAATAAAGATCAATATATATTCGGGCGTGGCCCTTCCTCAGTGGTAGGGGAGATCCGTGTAAGACGCCCAGGGTCGGTAAGAGCATAGATATCTATGGGTAAGAGTACCCATCGCTTTTTTTACCAAACCAATAATGTTATTTATTTTTCAATGTTCTTGTAAAGCAGAAGCCCTCTTGAAACAACAACTCACGAAACCTGAGGTATCAGGTGCGTCGCAGCGACTTTTGGTTACTTTTGGTAAGCCTGTTTCTGTTTTTGCCCCTTTACTTGCCAGATATATGCATCTTTATCACCCTTATATATCTGAAAAAACAATGGCTATCAAATGCAATCTTATCTCATCGAAATTTGTTACATGTTAGCTTCAGAATAGACCATGTTCTGGTGCGCTGCAAATGTCTCATACAGGGGCGGATCCAGGATTTTTCGGGAGGGGGGGCGGCAAGTCAAAATAGGGGCGACCTGGCAATCTGGGGGCGCTTCATACGAAGGGGCGTCAAACCGTCGTCAAAATCGAGAGTCGTCGAACCCGCGCCCGCGCCGTGGTGTGGGACGTTGTCATGCTCCCCCTCAGGTTTTCGCAAATATCTGAAAAAACAGCTGTGCGCAGCGCCGCCGTTTTCAGCACACATTATCATGCACCTTTTTTGCACATGTTGTGAAAGTGTCAGGCCCGGGTCATGCAACGGCAGGTCACCAGGTCATGACAAGTGACCTAACCCCATGGAATGTTAAAATGCTCACCATTGCTATACCGACAGAACGGTCGCTTTGAAACTGTCAACGATTGGTGAAAGCAACAATATTCATGAAATGTATATCTCGGAATTTTGATATTTGTGGGCTAAGGTCAAGTCAGTTTTGCGACCTCTCCAATCTCCATTAGGTACCTATACCGGGTAGGCATACTACCTAAGTTTATGTGAGACAACTGAAAGGCTTTTGGACGAGCGCCATTCTAGACAATCGCAAGCATTAGGATACATGTAAAATCAACACACTGAATAAGAAAATTGCACCTGTGACCATTCATTGTGTCCCACAGGTCATCCCAGGTCATGAAAGGTCCTGAACAGTTTTTTGAAAACAACTTGTGATAGATACATATGCTAGAACGATAAAAACACCTCTGTTGTGTTCAGCTCGACGATACAGATCGACTGATATGCAACATGACATTTCCCGGTGAGGTCATGACCTTGACCTGAGGTCAAATTATCAAAATTACCTTTGTCATGACCAAAAAATTACAAAATTACTCGACGACAGAAACGCGATGCTGGCAAACGTAATGTCGAGCCTCTCTTGAGTCAAAAGCTATTGCAGGAAAACATTGTTCGTAAAACTGCTATTTTTTTAGAGTTTTTGCCCTCTGGAGGCTAGACCGTTGACCAGAGGTCAATTCTGAGGGCAGTTTACAGAAGCACCTTTGAAAGGGCTATTGAATGCGCTTTACCGCGGCACTATAGCTCTATTGGTTTCCGATCTATGTGCCGGCGTTTCGAAAATTGTTGAAATAGGCAACATTTTACCTTTGATGACCTTTGGTGACCTGACCTTATTTGAACTAACCTATAAAACCGCTTACCGCGTGTCTCTAGTTCTACGCGACCTAGGAGCCGAGTTAGACGAGGGGACGTAAACTCCCCCCCCCCCCCTAGCACGACACGGAAAACTCGGACCACCAGCACGGCGCGGGTTAAAAGTCGTAGATGGGCGCCGCTACGTTAGCAAAAAATATTAGCAAAAAGGTGGCCTCCATTTGCTGGTGCATCCTTCTTCTCCTTTTTTTCTGGAAGCGTCTCACTTATGCTGGCTTGCCTCACTTCTCCTGAGGGCGCCCAACCTCTGCTTGGATCGCCCAATGCCTCATGGGGAGGCCCACTTTGCTTGAGTCGCATCATTTCTTCTAAGAACGACCTATTGGCTGTAGGCGACCCACTTATCTGGGACGGCCATCTTCTGCTAGAAGCGCCCCTCTTCTTCCTGATGCGTCACACTTCTACTTGGAGTGCACCTGTTCTGTTAGGGCGCCCCTTTGCTGCTGGGGAGTCCCCTTTTCTACTGTGAATGGGGCGATCCTCTCCTGTTGGGCGACCCCAAATTCTGCTGGAGGCGCCCCATTTCTGTCCAACTTTTGCTGGGGTGCCCCTGTTCTGCAGGGGACACTTCTCTTTTGCTAGAGACACCTCTTCTGGGGGCGCCCTTCCACTGCGGGGACTTATCTCTTCTGCCAGCGGCACCCCCTTTTTTCTTATGTTTTTTTTTTTTTACTGGGGCGTACCTCTTTTGTTCGGAGTGGGGCACCCTTCTCCTTTTTCTGGGGCACCGCCCCTCTGCTGGGGCTGCCCTTCCGCTGTCAGGGGCGCCCCTCTTGTGCAGAATATGCTCCTCTTCTCAGGCGCGGATACAAGGGGGGCCATGGGGGCCATGCCCCCCCTTGGCCGATTTTTTTTCAAAAATAAAATAAAAAGTTAAAAAGCTGAAAAGGGGGCCTCCTGAAAATAAAGTGGCTATTCATGTTGAGATGTTGCCTGAACAGCTAGATAAGCTCAATAGACGCAGTTTTTTTTTTTGGGGGGGGGGCCCAACAAGTGGGAAGATGGGGCCTCCAACAGGTGGGATTATGGGGGCCTCCTGGTTTCTAATGGCCCCTCCCTTGGAGATTTTCTGGATCCGCCCCTGCCTCTTCTTCTTGTAATGAGGCGCCCCTCTTCTACTGGGGGCACCCGACGACTGCTGCCTGCTGGGAAGCCCATCTGCTGCCGGGGTAACTATCTTCTGCCGGATATTGTCAATGGGGCGCCCCTATCCTGTTTGGCGAGCCAAAACTCTGCCGGAGACTCCCTATTTCTGGTCAACTTTTGCTGTGGCGCCTCTCTTCTGCTGGGACGCCCCTCTTCTGGTGAGGGCGCCCCTCTCCTGTGGGAAACCCTTCTCTTCTGGGCCCCCTCCGCTGCCGGGGGCACCCCTCTTCTCTTAGTGGCATCCATTTTCTTCTTATGGGGCTCCTTTTTTGCTGGGGCGCCCATCTGCTGTCAGGGCTCCTCTCTTCTTCTCGGAATGGGGGCGCCTCTCTCCGTTTGCTGGGGCGTCGCTCCTCTTCAGGGGTGCTTTCTCCTGCTGGGGGTGCCCTTCCGCTGCCAGGGGCGCCCCTCTTGAACAGAAGGTATCTTTTTATTCTTTTAATAAGACGCCGCTCTTCTGCTGGGGCGACTCTCATCTGCTGGGAACGGGCAATTGGGCGTCGCTCTCGTGCTTGGTGAGCCCAACTTCTGAGTGGAGGCGCCCTTTTTCTCCTCAACCTTTGCTGTGTCGTCGCTCTTCTGCTCGGGGCCCCCTCTCTGCCGCGGGCTATGGGCGCCTTTTCGGATGGAGGGGGGGGGGGTGGCCGCCCCCGCCGCCCCCCGCTGGATCCGCGCCTGAGGGGCGCCATGTTTTTTTTTCAATGGGGCGCCCAGTCGCCTGTGATCTTCAATGGGGCGGGGCGCCTGTTATGCTTTGCAGATCAGGGGCGTAACCACGCTAAAAGTGGTGCGGACAAACTTATAGGGGGCGCCATCCCTCAAGGGGGCGCCATCGCCCAAGGGGGGCGCCATTGCCTAAGGGAATGGGGTGAGTAAGAGGGGCGCCTTTATGTGAAAGAGGGGCGCCTATGGAGTTTATAGGGGCGCCTCCATGCGATAAAAGGGGCGCCTTGCCTTGGTAGCGACTGCGTATGCAATCCACTACCATCTACTGTTGCGTCGGAGCTTTGTGTGGGGCGCCATTGCATGGGTCGTGGGTATTGATAGTGCTAAAGCGCGCCTTATATGTATATGGCGTTGTCCGGTGCCCGGCGCCTGACGGCGCCGGGCACCGGACAGCTGAAAGGGCGCCACTTTGCCGGGGGGGGGGGGCCGCCCCCGTCGCCCCCCCCTGGATCCGCGCCTGGTCTCATAAACCATAAAGATTGTGACGTTAAAACACTGCATTTTTTAAGAGGCCCTCCCTTCGAGGATGATAAAACGCCCCCCGATTAAAAACGCCCCCGATGCTAAAACGCCTGCACCTGCGGCAGGCGTGGCATTCTTTTTTCAAGGAGTTTGTTTTTGTTTCTTTTTTCTGTTTCTTTTCTTAGAGGTAGTAGGTACAATTTTCGTTGGTCATCAGCGTTTGGTTGTGCTAGTTTTCGCATTGTTCGAGCGCTTTGGAAGTGTTATTGGTTTTGATTACACCGTATTTGCTTAGCTTTTCGAAATAAAAGGCCTTGCAGCTGTGTTCGCAAGGCGTCTTTTACAAGTCGACTTGACTTGTAAAACGCCCGAGGGGGGCGTTTTACTGATTTCGTAATAGCAGAGGGGGTCTTACCATACCCATAGTGCAAAAGGCCCTTTGCAACTTTTTCCAAAATGTTAAAGTTTACGGTTTGTGTACCCCCTAGATTCATTTTGAATGCAAATATGTATGGAAAAATGATGCATGCTCACAGCGCATGCACACATTAGCTCTTAAATATTATCAGTTGTCTAAAAATAGCAACTGAGCTTAAGGGGGGGGGGCCTCCTGCACCACTCTCCCCTACAGTGTTACAATTGGCTCAGTCCATGTACAAATTCATTTGTGTAAATGTGTGCGTGTGGTGGGAAGGGGATCACGCACACATTTACACAAATGAATTTGTACATGGACTGCGCCATGAGTAGGTATAATCATTGATCGCTCCACCCTGCCCTGCTGATATAAGGCATAGGCCGCTCACTGCCTATCAGCGCACCGCCAGCTGCCACTGGGTTAGGTCGGCACTAGGTTCGCTGATGCTGTCAGTGCCGTCGACCAGCTTTGTGTTCCTCAGCGATGGTGTGTGATTGGGAGCGCGATTGTCTGTGCGTCGGTCAGCGACTTTGTCGCACTTGCATCCACAGCCGGTGCCGCAGGACTGACTGCTACTGCCGCCGCGGTGCGCGCCTTTGCAGGTTCGGCCTCCGCGAGGAGCGCCCCAGAGATGTCGAGAGACGAATGGTTTCTCAAAACTGGTGGTGGTCCGACGCCGTTAGGTCTCAGGTAGGTGAGCCGACACTGAGCTGAGACGGTATAGAGGGCTCGCGGATCTGTAAACGGGACTTTGCAACCGTTCAAAACGAATTGCGGAACTGCATCAGAGTTTTGATTCCAAATGCAGTAGAGACCTTTCGTAAATCGTTACTCTAAAATCGTCATAAAATCGTTAATCGCTAAGCCGTTAAATCGTTACGTTTAAATTAGACATATTTGGCCGACGTTTCGCTGTATAAGCTTTCTCAAACAGGTGCAGCGAAACGTCGGGCAATTGATTTGGCTAATTTAACATCGATTTGACGACTGTAGCGGATCACTTGGTGGTGATCCGCTCCACCGTTTATCGGTGTGTTGCTTACACCGCTTTAACCCTCGCCTGCCGGTGTGGGGGGGGGGGGGGGGTGCCGCCCCTGTAGGTTTTTTCGCGATGGCTCCGAACACGCTGGCGATAGAGAACTGAAATTTGGCATGCCTGACCTTTTATTTAAGCCGGATCTTGTTTTGGCAACTTCGCAACGCCCTCAGTGCCAGAGGAGAGGAGCTTTCACAGGGAGATGAAAGTTACAGGACCTAGTATCATCCAGAGGTCTCACGACTTGTTTATCTCGGATTTTTCCTAAAGGTCACATGAGGTCAGGTCGGTCAAAAGTGACCTCACCATTATAAGTCAAAATGGGGGGGGGGACTGCTATTTTGGCGCTGGGAACGATCTCAGCCTATCTCAAGTCTCAACCTCTCGGAATCGTGATCTCATGCACTCCTTGCAAGTTTCCATGCTTCACTTTTGCATTGTTGACCTTACTAGGGTCTTAAGAGTTTTCGTCAATAACTCTTGAAAAAAAATGAGCTAGCGAGTCGGGAAGGCCACCAAGGACTCGGGAAGACTTGCCGAATCGCATGATATGCGACATGACCTCCTTTGACCTACTTCGTGACCTGGGGTGCTCTGACCTGACCGTGGCCCAAGGTCAACACCTCAGGTTGACCTTGACCTCACCCAAACAAAAAGTATACTTTTCGACGCGCCTGAGCAAGGCGAACACGATGATGCCAACATCGTGGCTCTGTGGCCGTTTTTTGCGAAGTTATTTGCCAAAACCCGAACCCGTATACCTTGGGCCACTTGACCTGACCGTATACATATGTAGGTATTTCCAGGCTTTTCTGTGTAAAATAGCATTTCATATCACGGTACGTCTAGAGGAGATCCGTATATACATATGTATGGTACGGCTCTCGCGAGATGGCGTTAGGTTTTGCACTTTAACATTTCCGGTTATATCTCAGAAACTAATCGATCTACGATGAAGCCATTTTACACGATCATGGCCGGCTTGTGAACCAGCAAGTCGATCGCATCTTCAACACTTAAAAGCTTAAGACGACGAAGATATAGCCAGAAGTACATTAAATTTTCTAAGTGCAAAACCTACGGCTAAAACCCGCGAGACCTGTACATACGTTGGACCGCCCCAGTGTGTCCCGAATCGGATGTTCACTGAACCCTATTCCGGGCGGGCTCTGGAAGGCTCGGAATCGGGCGGGGAGCCTTTCGCCCCCTCCACCCCCCCCCCCCCTCCCCCAGTCGAGACTCGAAAACCTCGAATCAGAGCGACAAAGGGCAAACGACAGTAAACGTCATTTGATAGTTCGTTGGAAGACCCACATCTTTTATAAATAACTTTTTTTGGTTCAGGTCAATATTGAGGTAACCAGAGGTCATAAGAATAAAGTGTTCAAAACAGGTACTTTATGACTTTGATAGGTAAACTTCAAAATTTGACCCAAGAAGGCCACGCTGTATGCCAATCAACGCGACATGACCAGGCAAACAGTTTGGTACCATTTACAAGTCTAGCACTATCACATCGTGGTTTATTGGCTAAAAACTATTGATGACCTCAGTCCTCACATGACCTCAGATGACCCTCCCGGTGCCTCTGTCAGTAAGTGCAGCAACTGGGTCATTACGGATCAGATAATCTGTAATAATCCTGAAAGAATTGGCTGGTTTGGAATCTTTTACTCGAAGCAGGACGCATTTAAATATTTTCCCATAGGTTTGTAATGTAAAGATCACGACTCTTACCTGACCTCAGGTCACAGATATAAAACCTCTGAGGTAAACAAATTACACATAATGGTACTGTAATGAAGACCCATGAAGAGAGGGAATCGCTCCGTGAAAAACTCTAGCTCTGACGTGACTGCAAACTTTTCTGATGTGGGGTCAACGAACCTGCTCTGGTGACCTGACCTGACCTGACCTGACCCGGCTTTTTTTTGCTGAATGTGCGCAATGAATTTATTTAGGAAAAGCCACCAAGTATGAGCTGGAAGTCTTGCAGTGTTTGACAATGGCAATAGAAAAACCTGAGGGGGGGAGCACCGCCCGGAATAGGATTAACTTGACCTGCTAATCTGACCTTATGTGACCTGGGGTTAAAACTTGCACACGATGCGAAATTGACGTATAATAGGCCATACAAGTTCCGTGGCGCAAGTTACAAGTTCCGTGGCTACAAGTTCCGCGCGCGCCGCTCTCTTTCTGCATTCCAAAGCACCTCAATTGATTTGCAAGACCACCAATGCCTGCAAATGAGGTTAAGTCGGTGGGGCACAACGCTCATTGGTGGGGTGCCGGTAAAATGGCAAGTTGGTGGGGCAGCCGTCTCACTAGCTGTATGTGTATTGTGTACTTGTAGGAAGCTCCTCCCCAGCAAACCATTTCAGGGGAGTTTGTCATCGCTAAATCCGCTACCCGTCACGCCGATATCATAAGTCCACGGTCCACCTGCTATCATTATCAGTGAAGTGACAGGTGACTCATGTATCCATTTAATTTCCTATACATAGAGTGCATACCCACCAGACGCTGGTGATCGGTCTATCTTCGTGTAGTATCAAAGCGGATTATCGTCACCTCCGATGAGGATTAGGTAGGTACTATCGGTGGTTTAGCAGCAGCACTGAAGAGCCCTTCATTCTATTCTGCCAAGACTTTTGCACAAGCACAGCTAGATCTATATGACCATAGTTAACCATTGACCATACAACCAACCTTGACAGGTCTCTTCCCCCATGCAATGGGTATGACAAGATACCTATATGTACTTGCGCTCGCTTCGCATCGCGTTGGCCATGAAATGATTAGGGAAAAAAATTGGGATCGATTGCCCGTCATTTTCTCGTGTCAATTGGACGTCTAGAAGCTTAGACATTCGCCAAAGACTTGCTGTAGGTACTTGCAAATATACCTGCTACAGTACTTGCCAATGAGCTTGGAGGAGGCATACAATTTGGAATCGATCAGGGATCCCCTATATACGAAGAAAAAATCGAACATGCTAACCATTACCGTCTTTATAGGTAGGTGGCGGGTGCCTGGTCTGACGTCGAATGTAGAGGGCGGCGTAAGCGCATCGGGCACCGACAGGAAATATGTCTCTATACATTTTGTTCATTAACCCGCGCATGACTGGGGTATTTTCCATAACGCGAGTGACTGAGGGGGGGGGGGGCTCTCCAGAGCCCACTCTCCTATCTCCGAAACTGCTGGGCCGATCGTCAAAATTCAAACGGTGTCTGATAGCCCTGGAAAAACTGTCGATTGAAACCTATTTTCATTGGCCTCGATGTCACCGATGATATCATAGGTCAGGTCAAATTAAAAATTATCGGCATTTTTGCTGGTTCACAATTTAGGCTCTAGCCGCCGGCTGACAAGTCCGATCAGGCTCATTTTGGTTTACGCACTCCTTGATATATGCCTTAAGGCCGCCCCACACCGGACCTCGCATGCGGGTTGCGAGTTTTTGGTTTTTCGGGTTTCCTCAAAATCAAATAATACAAACTAAGCTAAGTGACCCACACTACCATCGAACAAGCGAGTCGGCATGTTTTTAGCTTGCGAGCCACCTTGCATCGCCTACCAAAAGTTGATTTTGAGTCAACTTTTGATATTCCTCGCTGCGAGGTCTGCGAGTTCTGCGAGGCTTGCGGGTTTTTCGTTTAAAGGGACTATCCCACCTTTAACATGGGGTTTGAGCTGAGATAGCCAAGTTTGCGGCGAGGTTCAGAAACCACTATCTATCTAGGTTGCAACCCCCGCGGCCTCTTGGTATTGAAGAAATTCGTTCCCTTCATTTGAAAATGGGCCTTGTACAAGGCCCTATCTTCAACATGGAGCGACCGTTAGTGTGACGTCACCTCGTTTAGTCATTCTGATTTAAATGGGTTTGTTCGTTGAAAAATCGCTTAAAACTTGGTCTGAACTTTGTTGTGGTGCCTACAGAGTAAAAAGAATCAGCATTATGACAGTAATGTGGCCTGGGGAAGGAGGTAATTTTGGGCTGTGACGTCACATATTTGAAAGTTTGTGTTTGGAATATGGGAAGCGTAAGATGTTAAATGAAAAATAAATGCCAGAACCGTGTTCCTGGTCATCCAATCTATAAAGTCGGGCACAATTTAACTGGTTTTAACAACATTTTAGAAGGTGGGATAGTCCCTTTAAGTCGAATTTAGGCTCGTTGCGTTGGTTTTGCGACTATATTTAATTTTCTGAAGGTGTACCGGCTTCACTGCATTCATGAAGTTACCATAAGGGAACGTTCTAATCACTCTATGAATTAGTGTTATGCCCGTCAACTCAAAACCCGCAAACTCGCAACCCGCATGCGAGGTCCGGTGTGGGGCGGCCATTAGATACCCTGAGGGTACCGAACTTTTACTTCGAATTTTTCAGGTCAAGGCCAGGTCATCCTAGGTCACGAAAATTGTATATCATGTATCGGTCACGTGACGCATGTTTTATGGTCCATTTTATTCGTAGATTTCAAAAATAATGTCGTCTGTGTCATTTGAGGTCATTTTCAGCTGAATCTACCGGAGGTCAGGTCACATCCCAGCCAGCAATTTTACTCCGGGCCCAAGCAGGCTAAAGTGCGGCTTGCCCGAGATTTTAGTCGGGCTAAAGTCGGCTAGGGCTTGGGCTAAACTCGGCG